TGAACTTGAAGGAGCAAGATAGGAAGAGTATTAACCCTTGAACTTTGATATTGGAGAAGACCTCAGGATATCATGGACAGCCAGGAAAACAAATAAACAGATCATTAAAGAAATCAGAGTTCTCACTCAAGGCACAAATGACCTAGTATGTAAATGCTGTGCAAAGACCTAACTCTCTGGAGAAGGCTGTAATGCTGAGAAAGATGAAAGAGAAAAATAGTAGTATTTTATTCATTATTCATCCTGTCACCATATAAAATAAAATAAAAACAAAATATAGAATCTGATTCCAGAGTAAAATAGAGAAAATAAAATACATATGTGATGAATACAAAGAATTCACACCACCTTTTTGTGATGCCCTGATCTGTTCGGGTTTTGAACTGAAGTGCCTTAAGTGTAAACTTAGCATTAGAGTCTAGGAGGAAATAGGATAATCTGCAGTTCAGATCCCAGTGGGCTTTTCTTTTAAGTAGTGAGGTTAAATAAAGGTAAAAGGTAAAGGTGTCCAATCATTTCTGACTTTGGGGCAATGCTCATCTCCTTTTCCTAGGTGAGGGAGCCAACATTGTCCAAAGACACTTTGGTGTTCATGTGACCAGCATGAGGCTCAAGGAACGCTGTTACCTTCCACCAAAGTAGTACCTATTTATCTACTTGCATTTGCATGCTTTTAAATTGCTAGGTGGGCAGGAGCTGGAGCAAGTAACAGGAGCGCACCCTGTCATGTGGCACTCAGGTCTCACACACTTGCCAGCTTTCCAGCTGACAAGCTCAGCATCTTTAATTGCTTTAATCGCACCCCCTTTGGTGTGGTTAATTATCTAGGCCTAAAAGGAAGTACAGTTAGTTGACATTTAGACAAAACATGTTATGTCCTCTCCTGATATGGCAGGTGATGGCAGCGCCCATATCTGGCCATAGAATCCAAGATTGTGTCAATCTTGCTCTAGGACAGGCCCTTGTTAATAGTTGTGTCAAGCTTGCTGCCAGGTATCTTGGAAAATAGTTTTGATATTAGCCAATCATTGAAAAAAATCTACTTCTTTTTTTTTGGTAATACCTCCATGTCAGTTTGACATTGACATCTAGGACTCTGTTTAAATTTTTCTCTTGCCTGAGAGGCAGTTGAGAGTAAATACTAGGTGGAGAACCAATGCTGTGAATAAACTTTAGTAAGTCAGCTTATCCATGAATTGAGCTAGACCATCATTAACTATTCCATGAAACATATTTAGTCTACCAAGATCCATTGAATGAATATTCTGCCAGTGTGTGAAAACTTTAATTATTGAATATGTATGGAATGGGTACCTATTTCTACTCTGACTGCAGGGGTTGACATGTTCTTATCAGTTCCCAGTTTGCTTCTTAAAAAACATGATCGATTTAGATAGATTTTGTAAGGCCCCACAAGTCTGCATCATAAGTCGAGTTCAGAACTATGAATACTTTCAGGGACTCAAGATACCTAATTAATTATAAATAAATAGTTTATATAATACTTTAGTGCTTGCCTTTGGCCCTTTCCGAATTTCTTTTTAAATGATTTACTCACAACCATGGGTTGGTTTTTTTTAAAAACCACTCCTAAATGAGTAAACAAATTAACTTGTTCAATAGGCTCCCCATTTAATTGCCATTTATATGCCAGGTTTTTTAAAGTAAATGTTAGATTAGAACACAGTAGGTATTTCACAACAGCCTATTTGAGACTATGCCATTAGAACAATAATGACAGCATATAAAAGGATATTAATAAATTTATTATGAATGTTTGGCATATGAGTGTCTGAATAATCCTGGACATAGAGGTTAGAAGCATTGGGACTAGAATACTACCCTTCTACCATCATTATGAGTAGGTATCCTCTTAGACAACCATTTACCCTGTGAATCTAGAAAATTAAAATCATCCTAAAGCTACTATAACCTGAATTTTATTTTTGGGGTTGTATCATATAAATGACTCAGGCAGTGGTGGGATTCAAAAATGTTTACTATTAGTTCTGTGGGTGTGGCTTGGTGGACATGGCAGGGAAAGGTTACTGCAAAATCCCCATTCCCTCCCCACCCCACTTTCCAGCTCCGTTCTCCTGTTCAGGGCAACAAAAGAAGATCGGCTAGGAAGCAGTGGGGGCGAGGCCAACCTATTGCCAGTTCTCCAAACTACTCAAAATTTCTGCTATCAGTTCTCCAGAACCTGTCAGAACTGGCTGAATACCACCTCTGGACTCAGCCTGACCCTCTAGAGATCTCAAAAGAAATAAGGGGGGCTCACAGCTGGTCTCTCTGATCTATAAATGTAACCTCCATATTTTCAGAGGTTAAGAAACTAGTTTTATATATCCTTTTACATACCATTCAGGAAACACTATCTGTTCAATTTTTTAAGATTATATATGTGTTACACAAAACAAGAGTAAGCTGTTTACAGATATTGAAGCCCATGTGAGGGAGGCTAATGATCATCAACTAACCACAGTTAATTCCAAGGAGAGGCTACTAACTAATCTTGAAGTGAGGTAAAATTGAAGGTTATATTGGGTCACGTTTAGAAGGTAAGAGAAGAAAATGACTGACCAGAAACAATGTGGGTGGACTGATTTACAGTGACAATAGCAATAGCAGTTAGACTTATATACCGCTTCATAGGGCTTTCAGCCCTCTCTAAGCGGTTTACAGAGTCAGCATATCGCCCTCACAGTCTGGGTCCTCATTTCACCCACCTCGGAAGGATGGAAGGCTGAGTCAACCTTGAGCCGGTGAGATTAGAACCGCTGAAGTGCAGATAACAGTCAGCTGAAGTGGCCTGCAGTACTGCACCCTAACCACTGCGCCACCTCAGCTCTGACAATGAGTACATTGTTGGAAGACCAAGTTAGAGACAGAGCTTCATGAAGAAAATCTAAGATTTTATAACAGCCATCACCAACTTGATAGCACTTAATCAACCATCCTATGTACCCACAGTGTCAGGATTCTATTTTCTGGCCCCCATTGGATCCAATTTAAATCAGATTTGCCAGGTGCCTTTCGAACACATTCTTCCCAGTTCTTTTCAAGCATAACCCACGTTTGCTAGAAGATCCTCATTTTAGAAAAGTGTCTTCACAAGCAAATTGAAACAATTCCCATTGGCACCATCTGTATACCCATGTGTTCATTTCCAGTATTGTCTCTTTTCCTGGGCCATGTTCCTCGATCAAAAAAAGGGGAAGAAAACATCATTTGTGTTCCATTTCCTTCAGTGCATTATAATCCCTTACAGAATCTTCAAGAGTGTGTCTGGTTATGTCATGCATTCCCGTATGGATTTTTAGAAAGGAATATTTGTCTTAAAGATGTTTAAAACATCTTGGGAGCCTTTTTGCAACCTTCTGAAAGTGTGCCACAGAAAGGCAGCATACTTCTTTCGATAGCTTCTGACAAACAAATGGTTGCTTCAGTCGTTCTCAGAAGGGAGCTTGTGATTAGGATGACCAACTGTCATTGCTTCCAATTGAGAAAACAGGTAGGAGTCTTCCCTTTGAAGAATCATCTTCCTTAGTCTGCAGCTGCTCTTCATTAACAATAGTAAGTTGCTATTTATTTGAAATTTATTTTTGAACTCCTGAGTATAAGGACTCTTCTTGTCAGGTTTGAGTCATTGGGTCATGTTCCTCTATCTCTCTGTCCATGACCTCAGCTCCAAGACCTTCAGTCTTTTGGAAGGTTTCTTGATGCTTCTCTGTCAATGTTCCCTATGTCCTATTCAAGAATCTACAGATAAGCTGGAAAATGGATCGTTTTGCCTCTAGACCTTTTCCCTTTTTTTCCGTAGTGCAATTTGCTGTACTTTTAGCCATATAAAGACCTTGTTGACTTCATAGAAGAAAATAAACATAGTATGTGCTTTGCAGGTCCCAGGAGCAGTTCGCTCCCTGTTTTTCTGAAGAAGAGTAAAATCAATAAAAATCATCTGCCAAACTGGTTGTTCCCCTGTCTGCTCCCTCGGTGAGCTGAATAGGGTCACAATAACCCTGGGAGAAGGCCTCACGTGATTTTTTCCCCCCAACAATCCAAATCAAACATATTCTGCAAGTCTGGCATAGCCCTGCATCAGCATCAGTAATATCGATCTTAAGCTTATAGTTACACTGGAGTAATGTCAGCTTGGAAGGCAGAAAGATGATTTGAGACACATTTTGGGGTTCATGTAGCTTCTATATGCAATTTCTTAAAGCGGATGTGTCTTTTATCAGGATTAGATGGATGTGTTATTTGTAAAAGAAAATTTTGTTCTTAGTTGCAAAGTTATGTCTGACCCATCGCGACCCCATGGACAACGTTCCTCCAGGCCTTCCTGTCCTCTATCACCTCTGGACTCCAAAATAACAAAAGGCAGGTTACAAATAGAAAAAAGAATCTCAGGGAAAGTTGTGTTTGATGCTTTGGAATTATAGAAAGTCCTTTATGTTCCTGCACAGTGCAGCTATGCAAATTTTCAGGGCAGGTAAACTGAGGCCTGCATGATTCTAAAGCTACAATAGAATGTTTGAATTGTTTGCAGGTGATTAACAATGAATCTAATTCCCTCGATATATGTAGATACATACACACACAAAAACAACATCCACAACAAAAAGATGACACTCTAGACTTTTGATTTCTAGTATTTCTTAATTGTTGTCTGCCATCATAATATAGTAAGGAGAGAAATGAGTAACTGACATCCAAGGTATATCATATAAGAAAGGAATTGAGCAAAAGTGGTTCATGTTTCAAAACAGGGATTGCAGTAATGTGTGCAACATTTATTGCATAATAAATGTACATAATTGATGGGTTGCAGCAACGGCAGGTTCTTGTGTTTTGATTCAGTACTTTAGAGATCAGTATGAGTTATTATGCAATCAAAAATGTTAATTTACTATGATTGAGACCACTGTTAAAACTAATCATAAGGTGATAAGTGACATGCATGTAAATCAAAGGTATTATGTCAAATCTCTCTATAGGTTACATCTTCAGGAAAGAATCCATATCTTTCACCATGATATATCTTCATGTAAGTTCTCTTCATATTTTTAATTGTCCATTGTAAATGGTTTGAGGGAAGAACATTCTCTTGCAAGAATGTACAAGAAAGCTGGAAAGGCCTTTAATCTACTTAATCACACAACAACCGCAAAATGAAGTGACGGCTTCTGAATCTCCCAACATCTTTTATTCCCCAGTATATGCTCATAACTTGGTTTTAAATGTTAACTTCTACTATAAGATCAGACTGCATAATTTTTCTGTACATTGTTAAAGAAAGGAAATAGTGTGTGGGAAGTTCTTATGTACAATTTTAAACTGCAACTTTAAACACTCAAAGAGCCATTTGGACCTGTTTCCCACAGAAACACCAGGAACCAATAATTTAACAACTGGTGTGACTGGTTGGGTGTGGCCAACTCAACGTCACTCACTCCCACCCATTCACATGACATCCCTTGCCACGCCTACCCTGCCGGTCATTAGGGCAGAGAACTGGTTGTTAAATTGTTTGCCATGCCTGGCCTGGCCTGGCCCCAGCCTGCCTCACCCCTCCCAACCACCTCTTGTCACGCCCGGCCTCAGGTGTGTTGTTTATCCCCACCTCTCTCTCTCTCCTCTGTCTCTCTCTCTCCCCCTCTCTCTCCTTTTTCCCTTCTCTCTCTCTCTCTCTCCTCTCTCTTTCTCTTCACTCATTTTCCTTTCTGTCTCCTCTCTGTCTCTCTCTCCTCTTTCCTTTTCTGTCTCTCCTCTCCTTCTGTCTCCTTCTCTCTCTCTCTCCTTTTTCCCTTCTCTCTCTTTCTTTCTTCTCTCCTCCTCTCTCTCTCCTACTTTTTCCCTTTTCTCTCTCCTCTCTCCCTTTCCTCTCTCTTCAGGGGATCTGCCCCTCAGAAGCTCCATTTCAGTCAGCAACATGCAAGACGAATGTTGCAGAGCCTCTGCAGTTGTTCATAAGGACAAACAACTGCCATGGTGCTGCACGTTTTGTAGTGTTGAGACTTGTTCGTAAATGCTAGAGGTAATCTATGTTTATCACGTAACTTTGAATGTTCATTAAGGGAATGCTCGTAACCTAGGTATTATCTGTATTTTTAAAATCAATATACTTTTCATATAATCTCTTTTCAATTCAACCAACTAGAGCTGTTCCATTATATTTTGCAATTTTCTTTTGAATAGGTATTTCTTTTCAATATGATCTATTATACTGTACATGAAAATAATCCTGTCACAGTTTTTTTTCTTATTGGATTCCAGTTCTTGAAATAGACTCTCACTAGGATTATGCTTAGAATCGGATTGTCTGAAATTCAAAAGAATATTAAAAGTTCTTTCTCATGGCCATCTGTGAAGTTTTTAAAATAAAGGAATAAATGCTTGCCTGTTACTTTGAATGTCTAAAAAGCGTTTTAATGCTTTCTTCATTGTAGGTCCTTGGGAATGCCTTCAGCCTTGGGGTTTGGTAGATACTATCATCAGTAATCCACCTTACATTTTTCACGAAGATATGAGTGACTTGGCAGCAGAAATTCTCTGGTATACCCATCTTTTCTTCATTTTCCACATTGTATATTGTTTTTTTCTTTGCTGCAGTTTTAAAGCCAAAGACTGTGATGTTGAAAGCCCTGGCATTAATACAATCTCTTACAATTATTAAGGAAATAATAGCAACAGCAATCTCTCCCAAATCTGAATTCAGATATGTTTTCCTTTCCTCTGACAATGTTATTTTCTGCATGGGAGGAAGAATAGGTTACATATAGACATTATAGAAGGAAAGTTGTAGTAGTCAATTTTAGCCAAAAATCTGAAAGAAAATGAAGCATTTTTTCAGGCTAGCTGTCGGAAAGTCTCAATAAAAGCTTATGTTTTTTAATAAAATTGTTTAATCTGAAAAAAGTGCTACCAGACTCCTCCTGATTTTATGTTACATATAGATAATTGGATTTTTTATACCATGGCAAAAAGAATCTGTAAGGAGAAAATTGCATAGAAAGATTTTCTTTTTCCTAAAAAAAAAACCTTCCTTTGATATCACAATCATAATCCAGGCAGTTTATGTCTACTGTTAGTTGTTGAAAAATGAAGCGAGATTTCCTTTATGAATGTCCTTTGCTGTCCTTTTGGATCTTTCCAAAATCTATTAACATGGAGATTTAGGACTAAAAAAAAGTATTTTTTACACTCTAGAAGACTAGGAATGTTCTAGTTAACCATTCAGTTAACTATTATGTTAAACAAAGCATTCCAGGATTTTGCGTGGCTAATAGATCTGCTGTTATTGCCACTGTAAATAATTCATTAAAGGATTTTATAACACTTTCTTTGTAATATTATACAAACAATAGATTTCAGCTTATCTCTCTTTAGTCAGTCCCCATAAGTCCTGTTCTTATTTAGTCCCACACCTAGAGAAAAGTACTAAGTTTGGAGAAAAGCATCATGATCACATCCTCCATTTATGACTTGCTCATATCTTTTACTGGAAAAATCAGTCCCAACACAATCTTTGATGTGTTTCAGAGATAAGTACTGGGAATTTAAATTAATGGACCTTTTTTATCATGCCTATTTTGCCTAATAGAAAGTCACCTGCAGCAGCGTTCCCCATCCTTTCCGGCTTTGCTGATTGGGGGGGGGGGGATGGTTCCGCATGGGCGACAGGTGAGCACGTGCAGCTCCATTTGCATGAATTACAGGCATATGTGCCTGCCACCCGCACAAATGGAGCTTTGCGCACGCGCTCACCCATCACATTCACAGCCCAGTTCTGAATGGGACGCAGCCCAGTAGTGGGCCACAGCCCAGGGGTTGGGTACCCCTGCCCTATAGCACTTCCATATAAAGAGTACAGATAAATTAGACACAACCCCCGGGCTGTGGCCCACTACTGGGTTGCGGCCCGTTCGGAACCAGGCCATGGAAGTGGTAGGTCAGCATGCACACGAAGCTCCATTTTGCAAGCCACCATCCAGTGGTTGGGGACCCCTACCCTATAGCACTTCCATATAAAAGAGTAGGGGTAAATTAGACACATTACTTTGGTTAAAATTGAAAGCTGGTATTGCTGCAATCTTTTTCTATGAATGCTTTTGTTGACATTGGTCTCAGTAACACAGTAAATGATTATCATCTCCAGAATGATCTACTGGAAATCCCCCGGGTTTTCCAGTAAAAATCTAGTACCAGGAATTTCCATTTTCATTCCTAGTGACCAAATTGAATGACATGTTCGCCTTTCCAATATCTTTTGAATTTTCTGTTGTCTGTAAAGCCAGGATATGACTTGGTTTTTAGACGTGTCTTTGGTTTCTAGCTTTGAGGACCTTGGTGCCCTGGATGGAGGAATTGATGGGATGAGCATTATCAAAGAAATTCTGAAAATGGCCTCTTACGTTCTCAAGGATTGTGGGTAAGTACTGACTGCTTCTTTTGAAATAAGTTCTGTTTTAAAGGTCTAAGGAACTGGTGAAGAAAAGCAGGCAAAAAGGAGGAAGCAAGGAGATTGAAAACACATTTTCAAAGAGCAGCAAAGAAAGACAGCAAAGTTTACCGAGACCAGCATTGCAAGCAAATAAAAGAGGGCTGCATGAAGGACCATCCCAGGAATGCATTTGTGTAACTCAAAAAAGATACAAACACCATTTACTGCTCAAAAAAACATCATCAAAAACAAGCAAGGGACAGAACTATCTGATCAACAAGGTGTCAAGAACAGACAGCAAGCAACAAAGAGACCCAGCCTCCTCAAGATTATGAGGAGAGGGAAACAGAAATAGAACTAGCCATCCTTCCGGAAGACATGGGCAACGAGTCAGTTGCCAAACAAAATGGTGTCAGCTTTTGATGCCATTCCCGCAAAATTGCCAAGGCCTTTACCACCAACAATTATCACAGACTTGTGCCGGAAAATTTGAGAAATAAATAAATAGCCACAGGTTTGGAAATTGTCATAGTTCCTTCCTTGGTGAAAAAGAGTGACTCTAAGAATTGCTTCAATTACTGCACAATTCTTCACACTATCAAGATTCTTCTTAAGATCATACAACAACATTTGGTGCACACCATTGAAAGGAAATTACCAGGTCTTCATGCTGTCTTCAGAAGGGATCATGGTACTGGTGACCATGTAGTAAATCTGTGCTGGAACATAGAAAAATATCAAAATATCAAAAGAACATCTACATCTGCTTTTAAAAGAAAACTTTTAAATGTGTATCATAAAAAGCCACGGAGAGCTCTAGAAGTCCTGGGAATATCAAGACATCTGGTTAAGTTGGTACAGTTACTGCACCCAAATCAGAAGCTACTGTGCATATGAAGGCACTGATTGGTTCAAAATAGAGAAAGGAGTGCAGTAAGTTTGATTCTTCCTCCTTTTTTATTCAATATATATGCTGAAGTGATCATGAGGAAGCTGGAACTTGAAGAATCAGAAATCAGAGTAAAGATTGGGGAAAGGACCATCAACAATCTTCAGTAGGATGATGACACAACTCTCCTCTTGGAAACCAAAAAAGTTCTAAAATATCAGATCAAAAGGATTAAGGAAAAAAGTGAGAAATCTGGCCTCTTCCTCAACATAAAAAAAGTTTATAATCACTGTGAGGAATGAAAATGTCAAAATAACAATTGATGATGAAGAGATTGAATGCCTGTAAGAAACCTCTTTTTCTAGGAATGCAGATTGATTAAAAACAGTGAATGCAGTCCAAAAGTAAACAGTTCAATTGCAATGGATCACACAGCAATGATGAACATAAGTAGAGTACAGAAAAACAACTAAATGCTGATCAGTCTAAAGTATTGTGTTTCCCATATTTACCTAGACATTCCAAATGTGCTTTTTCAGGAGGCAACTGGACTTTCTTGAGGTTTTTTTTCTTTGAAGACGTTTCACTTCTCATCCGAGAAGCTTCTTCAGCTCTGACAGGCTAGTATATTCCTTGCAGACAGCTGGTCATTTACATCACTTAGTTTAGAGGGTCATTGAAGCGCTTGGAGGTTTATCTGTGTCCTTAGGGTCACCTGAGCTGTGCTCCTGATTCCTGTTCTTATACCCTGAGGACACAGATAAACCTCCAAGTGCTTCAACGACGCTAAAGGGGTGCAAATGACCAGCTGTCTGGAAGGAATATAAATATAAATCCTTCCATTCCCCACTATCCTATCAGAACTGAAGAAGCTTCTCGGATAAGAAGCAATGTCTTCAAAGAAAGAAAACAAGAAAGTCCAGGTGAAAAAGCACCTTTGGGAAAACTGTGACCTGGATGACTGACAATATCTACAGACTTTTATATCTACCTAGAGTTACGAATTTTGGACCATGAAGTGGTTGACTGGACAGAAAAAAACCAACTTTCAAGCAGTGATGTTAGAGAGAGTTTCTACAAATTCATTGGACAACATAGGTGACGAATAAGCAAGTACTGAAGCATATAAAATCAGACATATCACTGGAAGACAAAATCACAACATCCCACCTTGCTTATTTTGGCCATATGTGCTTAAACTCACTGGAAAAAGCATTATACTCAAATTATTCTGTGAAAAAAGAAAACAGGGCTGCCAAACAAAGACAGTGGCTAGACGTTATATAAGCCGACACAAGCCAGAACATAAAACAACTGAAAGAAGCCTTTCAAGGTCAAAAAAAATAGAGCTCATCCATAGAATTGCCAAAAATCAGACAAGTTGAACAGATAGCATCATCAAGGAAATGGAGGTGACATTTTCTGCTTTGTACTTTGCAGCCAAAATCATCTATGCAGAGTTGCATAGAAGCATGCACATCAGAGAGCAACTTCTGCTTTTTTCTGCCAGTCATTTCCCAATTTTAGAGAGAGAAGAAATAGAGAAAATGTACATAACTGGTAGAATAGATCCTATTCTTGCTAGTGCACTCAAATCCCAAAATGCAAAGTGCTTATGGATACCAGCATGTTTAGTGGCATTTAGCAAGTTGAGTTTCCTGCCTCACCTGTTCTTTTTAAGATGATTTGTAGTTTTAAATATTTAAGGACTAGATATGGATAGAAGTTAAAGAATGTAACTACCATTCCTCTATATGAATGACATCAAATTGTGTGCTAAGAGTGAACAAGATATTGTTTGCTGATTTACCCAACATACAGTATACAGTGAGAACATCAGGATGTCCTTTGGACTGTAGAAGTATGACCGGATGCTAGTCAAGAGACTAAAAGTAGTTAAGACTGATGGGATGAAACTACCAACAGGCCACTGGTAGACATAAGAGACCAACTACAGGTGCCTTGGCATCCCAGCATCATATGGGAAACACAATGAGGAGGCAAATAAAACAACAACATTCAAGTACTACCAAAGGATAAGACAGGACCTGAAAAGCTGGCTCAGTGATAAGAACAAAATCCAGATCATCAACATATATGCCCTGCCAGTCATCAGATTCCCTGCCAGTATAGTGAGCTGGCCAAAGAACAACATGGAAGTTCTGATATGAAGGCCTGGGATCTCTTCACAATGTACAGAGATTTCACCTCATGTCCAAACTTAGAGACTGTACACCAACTGGAAAGGGAGCAGACGGGGCCTGTTAGTGTTAAATCCATTGTCCTGGATGAAACACTGAGCAATCAGGTATGAATCAATAAAATGACACCCAGAGATGAGCTGCTAAGAGAATGACTTGGCTAGCAGCAGACAGGGAAGGAAGATCAAACAAAGGAAATGTTGTTGCAAGATAAGATCCTGAATGAGATATACCATTGACATGTGGCTGAGGTGGCAGGCCTTGGGAAATCCTAACAGCAGCTGGAAAGGGCTGGACTAAAAGACAGCACTTAGGTACTGATCCAGAGGTGGGTTGCTAATTTTTTTACTACTGGTTCAGGCGCGCTCCTATGTGTGCTCATGACGCTTCTGCGCATGCGCAGAAGCGTCAGGGTGGGTGGGTGGAACCTCCCAAAGCCATTTCTACTGGTTTGGCCGATCTGGGCCAAACCAGTAGCAACCCATCTCTGAACTGATTATAGCAGTAGAAGAACAGGCACTAAGTGAAAAATGACCAGGCTGAGCTTGAGGGTGGAGTCAAACACATCATCATTTTGGAGTCCCTACGTTCCCATAAAAAACCATAAAAAGTCCAGCCCCCTCTTGAAGGCTGTTGATTCTTATCTGGCACCAATTTCACTTGATCAGATTCTTGTGAATGTAGCAAGAAATAAACGTAGTGAACTCTAATCTGGACCTTTTGGTTTCCTACACCTGACATTAAACACCAGAGCCATAGAAGCAGGGGTCTACCATACCAGACAGGACCCAAGGGGCAAACTATGCAGAAAGGTCTCAGAGACACTCCAACCAGGGGTGGGTTTCTGCCAGTTCTAACCTCTTCCCATAGAAGAGGTTCCACAAATCCACAAAGTGCTGTTTAGAACCGATTCCATCTCCCTCCCCCCGCCAGTCCGCACATCAATAGCAGTAGACTTATATACCGCTTCATAGGCCTTTCAGGCCTCTCTAAGCGGTTTACAGAGAGTCA